CGAAAATCGATTTTTCTCAAAAATTGAATCTAAAAGATAATTCAATTTCAATTTTGCAAAACATATGATATGCTAATTCTTTTATCTGCTATTGTTTAAAATTCTCTTGTCATTTTACGTAGAAAAGGAGTAAAATTACGTAGAAAAGGAGTATTGTCGAAAATTGAATTATCTAAAAGATAATTTAATTTCAATTTTGCAAAAATGAATATGATATACTAATTCTTAAATTTGTTTCTCTTGTCTTTCAGGTTCTACGAAATTAATGTGAAAATACTTTTTAAATTCATCATTTTTCAATCTCAATACTTTTTTTACGGATTTAACGTAGAAAAATAATACAACCTAAATGTGCACGTATATTATGATGTTTGTACAAAAATGAGTTTCAATCAAAAAGAAAAATAAGATTCGTTATAGATGCATAAATTATCCTACTTCTTTTACATGTATCTTTTCATGTATCGCCCCATTTTTATTTACTTATATACTTATATAAGCATAATATTATATAATTTATATAATTATACCTATATACTTATATAAATATATAAGTATAAAATTATTAATAATGTACATAGACAAAATAGTTTGATATAAGAAAACATCTATTATTAGAAAATATTCTGTTTGAGTGACAATGTTCAGACATTTGAATATTCGAATATAAGAGACTTTATAGAATTTACAGCTTTTATGTATAGAATTGTATTATGTAATTAGTATTTATATGTAATATAGAATTACAGCAATTTATGTCGCAAGAATTAATACACAGTTTATAATATAGTCAATAACAATGCAAGAATATCTACACAGTTTCCTGATCTGAAAATGCAATAGTTTATAGCATATATTTTCTGTTAACGAATGAACCTTGAATTTGGATTTGGGAAACTTTGCAGTGTCGAAACAAAAAACAAAAAAGTTGCGAAAAGACGAAAAGAAGACGGAAGAAAGATCGTAAGCGTAAAATTTTCGCACGATCTGCAGAATGCGTTAACAGATTTTGGTGAGGCCAAGAATGACGAGAACAGGCACGATAATAAAAATTTTACTTGGAGCGCGCCGCTTCGATTATCGCCGGCCCAAAAGAAATTTCCTGATATTGCGATAATAAAGACGATACGCGATGCCAGATTAAAGGAAACGCGAGAAAAGGAGAGAAAAGATACGTTCGTAGCGGCGTCAGCAACGTGTAACGATGATAAAACTATATAGAATCACAATAAAACTTCTCTCCCCTATGAATCTACCACACGTTCACTCTCTTAATAATCACTTAATCAGTTTTCTTCGTCTAATCTACGGGACATAATCAATATTTTTTTTAAATGGACTGTTCATTTCGATCCTTATCAATTACATTTTCCTCCTCAAATAAAATAAAAATAAAATAATGTATAAATAATTATTATTTTATTATTATTATACTATATTATAATAATTTTATGTTACTATAAATTATTATAATAATTTTATATTCCTATAAAAATAAAATCAATTTTATTCCTTTGAGAGGAAAAACGTAATCAATTTTTTTTTCTTCTTCAAGCAAATTGTTGTGTGATTCATTAGCAATCGTGAGATTTCCCTTTATTTAATTAACGTCAAAACGTGATCAATTTTATTTTTTTTTAAGTAAAGTTTGATCGCGCAATAAAATATACTTCTTAGATTTGTAATATTACATTATTTTTATTATTAATTTATAATAGATAAATTATTATTAATATATTGTTTTTATTATTAATTTATCTATTCTATCATTACTTTTATTACTAATTTATAATAGGTAAATTATTATTAATATATTATTTTTATTATTAATTTACCTTCTATCATTATTCTTATTATTAATTTATAATAAATTATTGTTAATATATTATTTTTATTATTAATTTATCTATTCTATCATTACTTTTATTACTAATTTATAATTTTTATTACTAATTTACCTATTCCATCATTATTCTTCTTATTATTCTTCTTATTATTAATTTATAATAAATTATTGTTAATATATATACTTTTATTATTAATTTATCTATTTTATCATTATTTTTATTATTAATTTATAATGTTACGCAACAGACTTTGGCAGATACACAATTATAACGTTACACAACAAGCTTGGATGCACATAAATTTACAATGTTGCATAACAGATTTAAATACATTTCATTTAATATAACGAATTATTTGGAAAAACAACTTTACCCAATATAAAATGTAAATAAATTATTTGCAAATAATTTTTTTATTTTTGTTAAGTTGATTATTTAAATAAAGTAACAAATAATCTGAGATTATCTGTTGACAATATTAACAATAATGCAAGATGCAGAGATCAGTTTTGTGCCTTTTTTTAGATAAATTAGAAAATCATTTATTCATTGATTTTGCTTCAGAATCGTTTTGATAGGAAATTATTATTTTCTGTGTTGTGAAACAAATTCTTCTTGCAAGGAATGTTTTCATAATTGACCGAGTTCTTCGAATTCTCAATTTTCAAATTCAATGCAAATGCAGTGAATTAATTTCCACATCGAATAGAAAGTATTTGAGAAATGATTCGAATAAAAATTCATATACAAGATAAAAAATAAATATCTCGTTTGATGGCGAAATAATGAAATAATCTGAAGAAAAATAATGAAATAATCTGAAGAAAAATAATTTCAAATAACATCTAGCTAAATGAGATAATATATTAATCAATTCACAATTTTATAATAGTAATACCCAATAATACCTAATAATATCCAAGCGTGATTTATATAATGATACACGTAAAAGATACAATTCTATTTCTTTTCTAAAGAAGATATAGTTCATACAGATCGACAGATCGCAGATTTTTATAGAAATTAATATTTTCGAAGATGTAAATAAAAAAAATGTAAGCTCGCTAGAGAATTGTTTCAAGCATCAAATATTATTAAAAAAAAAACTTTACACTTTAGACATTTAAACGTTCGTGCGTTCTGCGCGATTTTATTTTATAGTTTAAATTTTCTTATAAACGCGCAAAGATTGTAAAAGTTACTTGTACGATATCGTTTTGCGCGATAAGAGAAAAAAATTTTGCAGAGTGCGAAACAATCGAGGTGAGTTTGATAAGTGCTCTCGTGGAATTTATGAGAAACATCGCAGACACCAACGAAACATTCGATAAAATGAGGAAAAGAAAAAAAGTCGAATAATATGAAAGGAACATGGATGGGAAATTGAGCGAAGTAGAACGAAAGACCTTGATTTGCTGGCTGTACTTGAAACTTGTTAATGGCGGGTAATTAACGTGCTGAATAATCGTCGGCTGTTCGTGATGCGCCATTCGAACGACAAAGGGGTCTAATGAAACCAAGTTAAACTCTCTCTCTCCAGCGTCGATTATCTTTCGATCGTTCTAATCTGACGAGCTGGTGTCAAACGATACGAAAAATTGGCACTATTTTTCGACGAAGTTCGCTAAATATTTATAAGCAAGCTCGGGATAGCGTAATTACGCGAAATTCAAAGATGCAAAAAGCCTTATCAACTGTGTAGCCTAAGATACAGAAGAACAAATGCATCTGTTGTAAAATAGAATAACGATAGTTGATTCTTTTGGAGAATCAATGATTTCATTATTTAAATTCATTTGTTGATACTATTGATAAGTCTTGAAAATTTAATTATAGTCTCGGAAATATTCTAAAATATTTTATAAATGATTTTTAGTTTTCATTAAAATTTTAATTGAAATATAAAATGTCTTTTTCTTCTTGCTATCAATATAGATACTATCTGTGTTCAAAAAAAGAATATAAATTTATGTGTATAACCTAAAATGTAATTATTAGATTAATTAAGTTTCATGCAGTTCATGTAAGTGTCAGAAAAAAAAAAGAATGAAAAACGATATTCTTAGTAGCGAAATGCAAAGTTAAAAAGAATAATTTACTAGAGTAATTGATAATTTACTAGAATGATTAATAATTTTCTAGAATAATTTGTTTTAGCTTTTAACACTGGAATAATGAGTTCCAATTTTCTTCTATCTCTTTACAATTATTCAAAATACGTATTTACCTTTAGATAAAGTTAACATAGATTTCGAACATACTAACCACGACTTAATTAAATCGGATTATTGGTATATTCATTTTATAGTGTTTTAATTCTAATTATTCACATTCAACCTTATAGATGAACCACTGTGATTTATGTCAGACTACGAAAACATGGGACCATTTAATTTTATCTCGTATTCTACATTTTCCACAACAGAAGTTAATAATAAAATTATTGTTAAATAAAAAATTCCAATATGAAGTAATCTGACTATTGCGGCCTGCAATAACCAAACGATACTAATTAAGAGTTGATATAATTATTCGTTAAAAATTAATTGTTCTAGTATCGTTGTCGTAAAGTAGAAGTATTACGGCTGTAAGTATCAAACGATGACACAATAAAAATAATGAAATTAAATTAATCCAACACATTTTATATAAATCTATATAGTATGGAAACATCGAAAGTTTCTGTACAACGATGTACATAATAATTGATAAAATTAACAAAAACACGTTTGTTATTTTCATTAGAAATCGTCTTAAAGTTCTTGCCACTTTCACTTCTTTAAATTGAAGTTGAACTCAACTCTTCAAACAACCAAATCACGTATTGAATCGCCATCGGTCAAAGGGTTAATCAATTTCGCAGAAAATCGCGTTGACTGGTATCTCAATCCTCCGTAAAATCGTAGGAAAAAGCAGGCTCAATGAATTAGAAGCAAAGTCACTCGGATAGAAAAAAAAAGGAAAGAATTGAAAACCACCGAGCGCGACAAGTCGCAAAAACCGGTCGATCAGTCAAATTCACGGTTGCCCGCCGCGTTTTGCTTTCACTTTTATCGTGCGAAAAATCGTAAAACTTCGCGAAAAACGTACGATAACAACAAACGAAAAAAAAAAAAAAAGAAAAAAACCTAGAAAGAACGTTCATTCACATACCTGTTTGCAGACACGTGGCCAGTCACGTAGACTTATTCAACGAGGGAGGACGTCGATCGTTTCGATGACTTTCGGGACTCGTGCCAGACGAAACTCTTATATTTCCTTTTATACAAACGCACGCTGGATTTTCTCTCTGCAAAAGAAACATGAACACTGTCTTAAATATACGACAAACGATCATTTTCTAAGGGCACTGTCTCTTCAGAAGATCGTGTGATTATTAACAACGACGTGCCAAAATTGCAACATTTCCTCGGTTTTAAGTATATTTAAGTAAAGCAAACTAGACAAAACAGATAATAAATTTATCATTGTTGCTTATTATTTATTATTACTACTTGTTATTTATTATTATTATTATTACTTTAGTATTACTTTTTATTATTATTATTATTACTTTAGTATTACTTTTTATTATTATTATTATTACTTTAGTATTACTTTTTATTATTATTATTATTACTTTAGTATTACTTTTTATTATTATTATTATTACTTTAGTATTACTTTTTATTATTATTATTATTACTTTAGTATTACTTTTTATTATTATTATTATTATTACTTTAGTATTACTTTTTATTATTATTATTACTTTATTATTATTATTATTGTTGTTGTTATAATTGCTTTATTGTTATTATTATTATTATTATTACTTTATTATTATTATTATTGTTGTTGTTGTTATTATTGCTTTATTGTTATTATTATTATTATTACTTTATTATTATTATTATTGTTGTTGTTATTATTATTACTTTATTATTATTATTTTTATTATTATTACTTTTCAATAATTTTTATGCAGTGACATTATGCCGACGAGTTCGAAAAAAGAAAGCGACGAATTATTGTAGACGGTTTGGTCACTCGTTACGGTCCGCAATCGCAGTTGCCAGCGCAAGTGGTTGCGACGCGAAATTTGCATGTGAATTTTGCCTATGAAACGGAATATGACGTTATAATAAAAGCAAAATGACAATTTTCTATATTTGCTTATTTGCGTTAAAAATTTTTTTTTTTAGTAGATGACGTTAAAATGTTGCTAAAATATTCATGGGAATAGAAATGCGGATTACCGGTGATCGTTGTGGCAGACAACACGTTAAAATATTATTGAAGAAGATCGTAGAAGAGTTTTAAAATAAAAGACCATATTTAATTGAAATAATCTTGAATATTAATTGTTTCCACAAGAAGAAAAATATATTAATTATTTCCACAGGTATGTTATTGCTCTTGATTCTTCTAATTCTTCATGTTATGTTTTCAAAAATCTATTTATTATTACTATGATCACTATTTCGTTTCATAATTAATCTTTCGAAGATTGAAAAAATATTCTAGAATCTATAGTAGGTATATTTTGAATGCATATTAGGGACAAATAATCGTCAGGTTAGATTCTTTTATCGAGTACACGCAGTTTTCTTCAATTTTTTTCAAAAATCCGAAGAAACAAAATATTTCAAAAACAAAGTATTGCAATTTTATGATTTTCATCGTTCACTCTCTTTAATAGAAAAAAAAAAACCTAAAGTGTCGCAAAATTTTAATTCACTGCCCGAGTGGTTAGCGTGGCATTTTAAAACGCAAGCACGATCGAAAAGCTCGGTTGTCGAGGCGCGAGGCAGAGCTCTCGGGGAACGTTTTTCCGATAACTCGCGCGAGATAATGGTTCAATAGCTAGCATTTAAACAACGCTCGACTAAATAACCAAGGCTAACGGCGACCTTTAGAAACTTTACGCCCTTCCACCAGGTGGAACAGCCGCAACGACGGAGATGCGACGACTTTCACGAACTCTTTCGAATGGTAAGGCGCCTTCGTTCTGACGTTAATCGAGTCATTATGCAACTGGTAATACGTAGCTGTGAGAGAATGACGACGCTGTTCCACGTTGCATTTCATTATGCGTCTAATCGTACGATCTTCAACGAAAATTTATATTGAGTTTCTGCCATAAGCTCGTGGAGTACTCGCGGGATGTGGCATTGAATGTGCAGAGAATATGACGACCGACTCTTTGAAAGAACGAGGCGAACTTCAAATAATAAGTAACTGATTACGATAAATTTAACTTTCATTTTAAATAATAAATACAAATACAAACGTAACTGACTACGATAAATTTAACTTTCATTTTAAATAATAAATACAAATACAAACGTAACTGATTACGATAAATTTAACTTTCATTTTAAATAATAAATACAAATGCAAACGTATATACGTATATTGTAAAAGTGAAAAAATTTACGAAAATTCGATAAATTTAATATATAATGTAATGTATGATAATTTTATATGCATCAAATTCATTAATTTCGATTCATTAAAATGTAATGTTAATAAAATTGAAAAAACATATGCTTGAATAATTGATATATTCTAAAGACAATAATATATTTTGAATAATTACAGTAAATGATATAATTATAAGTCAATAATGATATATTTTGAATAATTATAAGTCAATAATGATATATTTTGAATAATTATGGTAAATGGTAAAATAGAAATTCAATTTATTCTAAAATTTCTTAACAAAATTAAAATTAAATGCCAGAAATTAAATTTGATGATAAACGAATTGATAATGTTCAAAGTGGAATTATTAATCTAATTAATTCAATAATTACTATAAAATGTATGAGAGGTTTAGGAGAATTCAATGGAATTAAATGTTTTAAAAAATTAATTGGTAAAACCACATAATCATATATAATATCATAAATAATAAAATAATAATATTGAGATATAGTAATGTAATAATATAATATCATAAATAATAAAATAATAACATTGAGATATAGTAATATAATGATATTGAGATACAATAAAATATAAAATATATAATAAACTATAATTGGGATACAATTATTTAAGGATTTAAAGATTTGTGTAAATAATTAATAGAATGACAATGAAAATATTGGATTTATAAGTATTTATAACATTTTATAACTGAACGTAAATTATTAGGTTTGAGGAAAACCACTTCCTTCCTTTCGATAAAATCCATTCGTACCACAAATAATTTTTCCAAAATATGAATTTTACCACGTTACGATAAAACAAAGTTTTGACATTTCTATAGGAATCTTTTATTTTCCTACGAATTGAAACCTAATCCAAAACTCAAATTAAGAAATATACCAACATATGAAAAAAATATCGCGTAATAAAATTGAAAAATTTTCAAATTCGATCAACCTAAAGCTAATTTAATATTCAAATTAAAAAAATGTCACTTAAAAAAAATATCGCATAATAAAATTGAAAAATTTTCAAATTCGATTGATCCAAACCTAATCAATTTAATATTTAGATTAAAAAGAATATCGCTGTTTGAAGAAAATGTCGCACAATAAAATTAGAAAATTGAATCCAAACCTAATTAAATATTCAAACAAAAAAAAAACATTTAAAAAAAATATCGCATAATAAAATTGAAAAATTTTCAAATTCGATTGATCCAAACCTAATCAAACATTTAGATTAAAAAGAATATCGCTGTTTGAAAAAAATGTCGCACAATAAAATTAGAAAATTGAATCCAAACCTAATTTAATATTCAAACAAAAAAAAAAACATTTAAAAAAATATCGCATAATAAAATTGAAAAATTTTCAAATTCGATTGATCCAAACCTAATCAAACATTTAAATTAAAAAGAATATCGCTGTTTGAAAAAAATGTCGCACAATAAAATTAGAAAATTGAATCCGAACCTAATTTAATATTCAAATAAAAAAAAAAACATTTCAAAAAGATATCTTATAATAAAATTGAGAAATTTTCAAATTTGATTGATCCAAACCTAATCAAATATTTAGATTAAAAAGAATATCGCTGTTTGAAAAACATGTCGCATAATAAAATTAGAAAATTTAATCCGAACCTAATTTAATATTTAAAAAACTACATATATATATATATATATATATATATCACCGTTCGAAAAAGATATCGCATAAATAAAATTGGAAAATTTTAAAATTCTCGCAAGACCGGCGTTCGAATTTAAAAAAGTGTCGTCACACGAAAAAATATGCTCGCGTAATAAAATCGGAAAAAATTTTGGATATTTCGCGGAAAGTTGCAAAGAAGCATTCGTAGCACGGAGTTAAAAGAACTGGCGTAAATCAACTCGTTTAGAACGCGACCGATCAAAAAGTTCTCGCCAGAGAGGGATTCAACGATTTACGAGGTTCGATTTACGAGAGGGAGATACTTTTCCAAGCCTCTGGACCTGTTTGCCGTATTCCTCGTGGTCTACGACGTCTCTCTCCGTGATTCCTGTTAACTTGTGTTATGTCGTCGCGGATATAACGGTACGTAGCACATTGAAAGTCCACTGTTTGCATCTTGGAAACGTTTGAGCGACGCGCGTCTTATCACCACGCAAACGCTGTAAAATTACCGTCATTACGCAACCAACCACTCCGTTACCTCATGACACTGTTAACGCCAGAACTATCGAGTCAACTGGCAGTGACTATGCTACACAGTTTCGCACAGAAATTACGCACCGAGATATTTTCTTACCGAGAGGTAAAATTTGTTTAATATGCACGTACTTCGATAGCGTATAAGCGTATGATCGATCACGAAAGTATTATATTAATAATAAATTATATATTATATATTAATAATAAAAGTGTATATTCAAATGTTATATACGTTGTAATATATGAAACGTATTGATAAATTTCTTTCTTCGGTAGATCGTAGAACAAGTACCATATTTGTATAATGAATACAAATATAAATTGTAAATCGTGTACAATAAATATATTTGCAATATAAATTACGATGCGATATAAAAGTACGAATTATATACACAATGTGTAATGTACAATATGAATTGTAGTTAGAGTAAATACAATATAATATACATGTTAATATATTAATATATTGTACTTTTATATATAATTTTTTTATATTATATTATAAAATGTGTATACATTAATGTATTGTACTTTTATATAATTATATTAATATATTGTATTATATATTAATATATTGTACTTTTATATAATTATATTAATATATTGCATTATATATTAATATATTGTACTTTTATGTATAATTTTTTTATATTATATTATAAAATGTGTATACAAG